GCCCACAGGGAAAGCAACTGAGTCACAGTGGCATCTGAGCTTCCAGAAAGCCTCCATCCAGTCCATATGCCGGGCTCATGTGTCCATAGTGTGAGGCACAGCACCGGGCTGGATCAGTGTTACCACATCATATGATCTCCTACTGACTGGGCTGGAGGAAATGTAATCCTTCCATGTGCAACTAATATGGTTGGTCTTTAATCCTCTGCAGCACAGGTCTGTACCAAAGGTTCAACATTCAAGTTTTCTACTGCATGAAGTCCATTTTTTATCCTTGTATATAAAGTTACAAATTCATCCCTTTTCATTTGCTTGCAAAAATGATGAAAATAAGAGGCCAAAATCTTTACCAAAATCATAATCTCAAATACAGCCATGTCAAATATAGTTCCCAAAAATTAGGAAAATACCGATTTGAGATCACCAATTCATCCTTGGTTCTGCTATGTTATACATTTATGATACCAGGATTTCTTTAATTACCTACTGACATTTTAGTGTTTTTCTGCAAACAACGTGTCATTCAGTTGAATGACTAAATGGTAATGGGAATAAAACATGTAGAGAATTAGGCTGTTGTTTGTAGTACTCCTATCTCATATTAGTGGCCCTTGGCACATAAATAAAGAATCACAGACTCACAGAATATTTTGAGTTGGAAGGAGTCTATGAGGATCACCAAAGTCCAGCCACTGTCCCTGCACAGAACAGCCCCGAGAATCACACATTTACCTAAACAAATTACATTATTTTAAAGTAAGATTTGGGACTCCTTATTGTAATCCTATGTAAATTAGACAAAGGCCTTTTCACCCGGCAAAAAAACCCATAGGCAGTCCTTGATTGGACTAAATTTGTCCTTCTCGACGTCCTGTAATCCAAAGAGACTCACGACACCCAGTGGTCATTACAAGAAACGCAGGGATACAGAAGCCGTGCAGAATGTGAAGATGCTCATCTCAGTGCTCAGCTTCACAAAATTAAGATGCAACTAGAAAAATGAAGACACTGGACAAGTTACAATCCATCCTAAAGAGTCTGTAGAGATGTCTTAGAAAACTCAACACTTACCAAAAAAAAAAAAAACTCCCAAAGCCACCATCAACATCTGAGATATAAACCCAAAATTTTTTTTGAACACCAGGGAAACATGACATCTAGCCTGCTTTGGAACAAATAGTAGCTCTTCCACGGCAACAGTTTAAATCCTGTAGATCCTTCCCCCAGAAAAAAACCTACTAGAATGAGGAGATCTCCCTGAGAGCACTGCACTGATTAAGTGAAGGTATCCTTCTACACCCCATAGCTTTCCACACACCGTATTGAAGAGCAGAGAGGATGACTGTGCTGGGGAGGGGAGGGAACACAGGCGGCCTTGCTGCTCCCCAGAGCACTCTGCACTGCTGCAACGCTCTGATGCTGCAAGGGTGAAAAGCAGCCACTGGGGCTGCTCTTTTGCACTGCTTCCCCAAAGCCTCAGTTGGCCCAAAGTCTACAAGTTGTAAAGGGAATATTAAATCCACCTTTGTTCTCCTCCAACATAGAACAGTGTAGAAGAGTGTAAGAGCATCAAAAGTGCTTTATTCTTGATAACTTTGTTAATCATTTGTTATTTTTAAATTTAAATGTAAATTTTTAAATCTTCATTCTGCCTTGTCTTTAATTGGATATGTTTATGGATATATTTATGATTTGCAGATGGATATAACAATATGAAAGATTTGTACTTTGAAAAGAATACATATCTAAAGTTGAAATTTAGAAGAAAAGGAGCCATTACTAAAGTACTTTCATTAGAGAAAAATCTTGTTAAGTCAACTTCTGGGTGCAATTCTGTGATCTGTGACAGACTGCAGGTGAGAGCACATGATCACACAATGTTTCCTGCTTTGATATTTATTAAAAGAAATTAATTATTAACAAAATACATATGTGGAATGTCCTTTCAAAAAGATTTTGAGCTTTAATATTGTTTTAATGTCCAACAACACACTTTGTCTGAATGAATTAATTCTTTTGTTGAGAACATGAAAACTTATGAGGCATCATTTAAATAATATTCTTCTATGTATGTATTAAAATTACAGAAGGAACAAAGATACATGTATTAAAATATCATCAAAATTAGACTGGTTCAATGAAGTGAGGTGAATAAAGTTATTTATTTGTAAACTGAATACAATATAGCACTTGTTAAATTGTATTTTGTCTGTGATAGCAAGACAAAGCAGAGAGTATATGAGGAAAAAAGATTGAGTACATGGTGTTTTCAGACCTAACCTTTCCAGTTCAGACAGTGTAATATGAAACTACATTCTCCTGGTCTGGCTATGCTTTACTTCCAAAGTTTGCCAAACATTTCTTTCTACTGCTGTGTTAGGACAAAAGGTTCTTTGTCCCACATGCATTTATGAAGTCTATGCATCAACACCTTTATTAATTGTTCAGTAAGCACACATTATTTAACCACCTAATTAGATAAAAACTTGCCTTTGTCACTCATAAGCCATGAAACATGATTTCTGCATCTTCTCCTGAAAGAAGATATTCAACACCTTTTTTTAGTAAGTGTTGAAACACCTACACTGAATCAACATGCAGTCATACTTCACTCACATTCTTTTCACTCTTTTCCTGTTGTATGACCAGAATAAACAGGGAAGTGAACAAAAAGTTAATTCTTATTTGTCAAAACACTCACCTTTAGCATAAACAAATCAACCACTGTATAACACAAGGAAAAAGGAAAGCATCCTGTTGCCAGTCAGTGATTACTGACTGTAATCACTGAACTCACACAGTAAATGAGACCTTGGGTCAGTGAAGAATCAAATAAAATGAAAAGGGAGAGAAGGGGCAACGACAGAAATATTATTTAAACTACAAAAACAGAGTATTTGAAGGAGGAAGAATTTAGATATGTTCAAGATAAACCTAAGGTTTAAGTCAACTTAATTCATTGACAATTTGGGTGATAACATTTCATTTATTTAGAACAGAGGTTTACCTTGACTATTCAAGAAAACTCTATTAAACAGTAATAACAGTATTTCAGTTATCCTACCTGCTGCCCCTTGGAGGAAGGCCTGGTATCACACATTCCAAATCTGTTCTGAATCACCTGAACTGAACAGCAGGCTGTCTGTCCCAAACACAGGCCACTTGCTCTCTGGTGAGCTGTTTTCACTGAGCACCCACACATACTCCATATCCTGAGAAATCCAGCCTCTGGAGAGGACAGTAAGGGTTGTTTCTGCGTACAAGGCAGCCCAGGACCATGCCTGTACAAATAAGATGTTACAACAGCATTCTTAGCATGCTTTTCCTCAGAACTCAAAACTCCAGAACAGCAAGGGATCCAAATCCAGACTCTAGAGATCACACATCTCACACTACAGCTTAGATGCAATCAGCATTAAGTGCTCCAAAATACATCCTAAGAGTCACTAGTGTTCTCTCACAGCACTTCAGATTGGTAGGACTGGAACCCAGCAGTGCCATATTTTTTAAATGGCGGTGTCATTTCACACAGCATCAGACATTTTTGTGTTGCATTTGGCAAGTTGTTTATGAGACTATGCTGAGATTAAAGGTCTTTCTCTTTTGCATTCAGGAATTTCTTAGATCTTGTTGACCTCTTTAATCAGCATATTTCAGGTTCTTTAACAAGACCATCAAAACAATGAAAGCGTTTCTTTCCATTTCTATTTAAGGAATTAATTTTGTATTTGCTCAGGTTTCCACACAGCCTTTTCAGTTTTCTCTAATGAAATGGCTTTCATGTCCAAATGCAAAATATTCTGACAGATTTCTGGGTGCTGGTAGCATTTATGGAGTTCTCAGAACAAGAATAGCTACTCTAGTTTTTTCATTGAACCAGGGACTCACTTCCTCCTATTTATTTGCCCTTGGTTTATATGCAGTCCATGTAAACCAAATCCATGTATTTTATACTTCCCAGCCATGTAAAAGTTGGTTGGTTTTTTTGTTTTCACTCATAACAGGAAAAAGTGATTCCTCCCCTGTACTTGGCACTGATGAAACCATACCTTGAATTCTGTGTCCAATTTTATGTCCCTCCCTTCAGGAAAAGACACTGAGGTGCTAGAGTGAGTCAGGAGAAGGGTGATGAAGGTGGTGAAGGATCTAGAGCACAAGTTCTGTGAGGAGCAGAAGAGGGTGTTCAGCCCAGAAAAAAGGAGACTCGGGGGTGACCCTATCACTGTCACAAGGAGGCTGACAGGAGGCTGTGGCCACACAGGGCTTGGCCTCCTCTCCCAGCAACCAGAGACAGGACAAGCAGACAGTCTCAAGCTGTGCCAGAGGTTCAGGTTGGAGATGAGAAGGAATTCCTTCACAAAAAGGATTATTAGACATTGGAACACGATGCCCAAGGAGGTGATGGAGTCACCGTACCTGAAAGAATCTAGGATTGGATGTAGCACTTGGTCTAGTTGACATGGTGGTGTTAGGTCATAGGTTGGACTCGATGACCCAACGTCTTTTCCAACCTAATTGTTTCTGCGATTCCTTTTTTTTTTGCCCTGTTTTCCCTCACTGAGACAAGTTTGAGACTTCTTTGATGCTGTTTTCTTCATATTTCCTCTCTCTTTCATGGGCTGAGAGAGGCTACACAAACACCTAACCTTCTGTGTGGGGAAGAATCGTACTTTTTTGTACAGCATTCGGGAGGCGCAGGGCCGTCCCGAACTCCGGGCTCCGCTCAGCCTGCTCGGCTCCCTCACGGCCACGGTCGCGGCACGGAGCCGCCTCACGGCACGCAGCCCCCTCACGGCCGCGGCACGGAGCCGCCTCACGGCACGGAGCCCCCTCACGGCCGCGGCACGGAGCCCCCTCACGGCCGCGGCACGGAGCCGCCTCACGGCACGGAGCCCCCTCACGGCCGCGGCACGGAGCCGCCTCACAGCCCGCACTCCGGCCGGCCGCTCTGCGCATGCGCGCTCGGGGCGCGGCGGCCGCGTTCCCCCTCGGTGGCCGTGAGGGCGGGGCGTGTCCAGAGCGGGTGCAGCGCATGCGCGGCGCGGCTGAGCTGTGGCGGCCCCGCGCCCAGGTGAGGGGCGGCCCGGCTCGGCTCGGCCCGGCCCGGCGGGAGGCGGCGGCCGCGGCCGTGAGCGAGCGGTGGCTCGGGCCCTGGGGCCCCGGGACTGTGCTGTACCTGGTGCGCCTCGCCGTGTGGCGGGGCGGTGGCTCGAGACCCGCAGCCGAGTGGCTCGGCCCGACTGCGCGGGCTCTCCTCGTGCCGCAGGAGTGTGGCGTGCGGGCCCGGGAGGCGGGGTGGATTGGGTGGGAGCAGCGGCACGGACAGCCCCGGACGGCGGGGTGGGCGCCCGGTTCTAAAGGGAGTGCGCGGGGAGGTCCTGCCCGCCGGGCCCGGGTGGCTGCTCTGGCCCGGACAGGAGCAGGAGGTTTCTCACGCCCGTGCCTCGGGGGAGTGGCGCTTCTGGTTTGTTTATTTTCGGTTGTGGTTGTGGTGTTTTGCCTTTTTCTGTGAGAGAAGGTGGTGTGTCAGCCCTTCCCAAAGCTTCACTTAATGCAAAGCTGGCAGATGAGGTGTTCTTACTCTAGTTTTGTTTCTCTTTCTTGTTTTGGTTTGAGGTGGTCTTGGTTTTTTTGGGTTTTATTTTAGATTAGCATTTCTGCTTATCACTTTCTTAAAAAATACATTTGTTTTGGAAAGGGTTAAGTGATGAAAGCGTGGATCAGGTCTTAAACCACTTCTTCCATTGCAAGGATAGCATCTAGGTTGTGCTTGTGTAACCATGTTTGTTCATCCGTGTTAGCAGGCAGGCAGGTGTGACTGAAGATGGAAAGTAAAAGTGATGCAAGTGGCTACTTGAGGAACTTTTCTTCTGCTGACCATAATTCCATCATTCCTGCAATAGACAGTCATATTCCCATTTCAGAACTCAGTACTGGTTCTAAGGCTCGGTATTTTGGAGCACGCTTCTAGCAAAGTTGGCAGGGCCTGAAGAAGAAACTTGGATTTTGGTGTAGATTTTTTTCAGAATGTCTGTTACAATGTCATTTGAAGCAGCTTGTACTGCATACTGCTGCTGATGGACTGCTGGCCTGACTATGATGTAGTCTCCCGAGTTCCTGTTTTTGTAATTTAAATATAAAACTTAACATTGAGTCATAACTTCAGTGGGTTACTTTATAGGAAAATAATTTCTATAAATAACAGTAGAAATTATTTCTGCACTTAATTCTGTCAGTTTTCGGTTAGCCAGTTTCTCAATTACCTTCTTTAAGAGAAGCAGAAACTTAGTCTTACTGGATGATGCCTACCTTCAGAAAGCAGCTGAAGGTTGTAAGAAGTATGTAGTGTGGGAGGCCATAGTGTTACTACATTTTTCTGATTTTCATAGCATTTAGTTTCAGTCTTTCAGTGTTTTCATTCTGGGTGTGGGCATTTCTAAGGCTCTGTCTCCCCTAGGAGTGTATTGCAGTATGTGTTGCTCTTTTAGCAGCAGATTTCTTTAGCCCCCAGTGTGTTCACTGGTCACTCATTCTTTTCTCTGATGACTTACTCTACTCTTGAGAATGAAACAAACTGTGTTAGCAAAACCACAGCTTTGCATCTTCAGCTGTGTTTATTGTAAGAGCTTCACCCAGCACAACTGTCTTGTTTTGCAATTCAGCCCTTGGGACAACAAAGCTTTCGTAAGATAAATAATGCCCTGAGTAATTCCCGTTCTTGAAATAAGTGTTGTTTGTGAATAGCCTTTAATTTTTAGTTTGTTTTACCTTTTTGGGGTGGAAAGATATGTCCAGTACATTAGCTTTTGATCTGAATTTCATTCTTTCAGCATTTTGAGATATTTCTTAAAGTCTGCAGTTAAATCACTGGCAGTATAAAGGGAGATATGCAGCTATCCTCCATTGTTATCTTATAGTGATGGAGCTTTCTTTAGATTCAGATAAAGTCCTTTCTTTGTCCTTAACTGTTTTTGTAGTTCCTCAATGGAAAAGGTGTTGAAAACTGCCCGTGGCACCATGGAAACACTCAGACAAAGCAGTCATCTACTGACACTGGTGAGGAATTGCTGGGCAGAGTGAGGGAAATGAAGAGCTCCAACCATCGCTCCAGTATGGCAGCAGCAGAATCTGACAAAGACTCCGGATATTCAGGTTTAGAAGAACACTGTGTTACCTTCTTTGTGTGTTACCATGCTGAGGCTGTGCTTTAATTGGTGATGTTTAACAAATCTGAGTAACCCCTTCCAGTTTGTGTCTCATTACCTTGGAGGGCCTTTCTCTGCAAAATAGGTTTCACCTGCAATCATCTTACCACCAAAGTTTTATGAAGTGGAACATTGCCAATTTACAAAGTTCATCTTGTGAATTTGAATGGCATGGGAATTTAGAATTAATGCAATAATTTTAGACTCTAGAGTCTAGAAGTGAAGATGTCAAAATTACTTTTTCTTTGCAGTGATGAATGAATTGTTGGATTATGCTGCCCAGTGTTTCTTATGGTCTGACCATATTGTCAGTAGAGCCTGATAAACCAGAGGGTAATGGTTATAAGATCAGTAAGGTAATAGACATGATGTGCCATTTTAGTACTCAACAAAACTGTGCAAAAATGACCTTTAAACAAGATAAAAAAGTACTTCTATGAAAGTCCCCTTAAACAAGAAAAAAAAGTACTTTCTATGAAAGTTACCTGCTTCACTGGGTTTTAGATAAAATTTCAAGACACCAATGCCTGCATCGCAAACTGTGGATGTGGCAGTGCTGGAGCCTGGAGTGCTTTCCTGTATCAGTTTTTAGACTAATGCAACATTCATGATACTGTGCAGTCCCTTGGAGACTAGGTACAAAAGAGCAGAAAGTAATAGATTTTTGGGGTAGAAACTCTCTGTATAAGAACTGACCTGAAATACAAAGCCTTTTATTAGAGGCTGTCTGACAGCTGTCATAGCAACCTTAATTCTGTTGATATTACAGAACTAAACTTTATTGTTCTTTATGGCAACTTGGTTGAAGGAGGCAGAATATTAGAACTGAAAGGCACGTAAGCATTTTGCATGTGGAACAACTAACAGCTGAATTGTGCATCTGGCAGATGGAAGTTCAGAATGCCCAAGTGCCATGGAGCACACGGACTCGGAGGATGTGCTGAATGCGCTGTGTTGGAATGCAGAGGATGGACCTTGGCAATGCCCGAGGACCACAAGCAGCTCCTTTCCTGCCCTGTCTCCTATGGTTGTTATGAAAAATGTGTTGGTTAAGCAGGTAGGGAAGACATATCTTGAAAAATATTGCATGTTCTTAATTTTTTCCTTTCAAAAAAGATTTTGTAATGTTGTTGCAGCTCAGGAAAAAAACTGGTAATTTAAGAAGTTTTAGTATGATTGTCTGTTCTTTTGAGAGGCAGCTGGAATCACTGAAATGAAATGTGAAATAGAGAAACTCTGCTCAGTCTCCTAAAACTCTTTGTTTCAAAGGAATCCCACCAAAACACATTTTCAAGAATGTTATGTGACTGGCACCAAAGATTAAACAGAAAAGGGTGATTTGCTTTTGAAAACTGCTGTTGTTTTATTATTCAAAAAAGATGATGAAGTAGGATGATAGGTTTGTTTCCTCATTCTTAGATTCTAGAAGTGCTTCAATGGAAAACACAAATCCAGATGTTATAAATGAAAAAGTTAAATCCTTATCTGAAGTTAGCTGTGGTACTTCTGCTTTAATAGTTGTTTCACTTAATTGCATATGATGGCTCACATTGCACCAATTACAGCCCCTATTTATGTTCTTCAGTATTCTTGTGATGTTTAGTTCCACCAGCACATCTGTGAGACCCCCTGTGTAACTTTAACATTTTAACAGAAAGTATGAGAGGTATGGTCATATTATTAGACCTCGTGCTCTGTGCTCACTCATTTTTGGAGCAGAGCAAAAGTTCTTCAATGTTTTTTATTACAGTACTTCTGAGAATACAGTGGGGAGGGTTAAAAAGAATATAAATCCTGATTCTTTTTCTACTGAACCTGTTATGACAACAAGCAAGACCTAATATTCCCTGTTAGTATTTAACAGATTATGCAGTTGTGGGGGAGGTGATTCTGCTTTCTGAGCATCGTGCTTTATCTTGATAAGAAACAATTTTATTTTATAGTCACATTCCTAGATGTGTGGACAAATTACTGTGTAAACAGATACTGAAGGTTTTATATGTAAAGTCAGGAATAGCCAAGCTTCACCAAAGGCTGATAGCCTTTGGCCCAGAGCACAAAAATTAAAACATTACCTGCACTGATTCCAGTGCTAAACTCCAAGTTGTGTTGCAAATAAGAAAAAGCAGCTCCTAATAATAAGTAGCTTATATAGAGAGAGATATATTAAAAAAAATACAACCACATATATATAAAAAACCCTGGTAGTATAGGAGAAAGGAAATTTGGGAAGGAAGACTTGGAGATGGATAAAATGTCCACACTTGGTTCTCTTGAGCAGTGCATTGTAATATCTAACTACATATGATTAAAGACAATAATGTCAAATTGAAAAACGTTAACTACAATTAAGGAAAGCAACAAGTCTAGGTCAGAATAATAATGAAATGTCTTTCTGCTTTTTTTCATTATGCCAACTTAGTTCAGATGGTCATCTTTTTAAAATGGTCTTTTCAACACAGCACTCAGTTGGGCTTGCTGGACCAAAAAAAAAAAAAATAGCAGCATCCAGTTACTGCTGTTTATTTCTTCCAGTTTCAGTTTCCATCAGCATCATCCTTCTATCTTGGAACCACTGTGATCCTCTACAGTGGTTGTTACCTGCTGGCCCAATTTCACAATGTAAACAGCTAACAGTAATGATGGTAAAAAAAATAAAAGTCAGGTGGTGATTAATGCCAGTGCTGATTGTGGTAAGGTTTCTGTAAGTCTTGTAGAAGTCTTTAATAAGTGGGAAGGCTTTTTAGGCAAGTGACAGTGATGCATCAAGAAGTTAGCTTTCATTAAAAAATGCAACAACACACACAATTTGCAGAGTTAGTAAAATCAAAGTGGCCTTCTCCACTGAAAATGAGAATTTGAGTAGGAGAACTAGAGCAGAGTGCTATGTGAGAAGGAAAAGAAAAAAGAACTGAGATAGGAAGAAACCCAAGAGCAAGATAAGCAGTTACCACAGCTCTTTTGGCCTCAATGAATAGGGGGCTCTGCCGTGCTAGGTGCTGTTCATCAGTGCAGTTAATGGCAGCTTCTGGCTCCAAACCCTTGCTTCTTAAGGCTACCTGTTCTGTCCTGTGTTTGTATAGCTACAGTATTTATATGCTTCCTCACTCCTTACATCTCCAGATATTTTTCTTTTGAATGTTCTTTCTTCTGTGTTAAGGTAGTAATATTTATTTTTACAGGTAGCTGTTCTGTACCCCTATTCCATAAGCATCTTGCCCACTGAACCAAAGAAACATTGTGTCAGAGTAGGTAATTGAATCTTATCTCCAAGTCTCAGTGTCCTAATCAGTGGGTAATACCTGCTTTTGGTAAGTTCCAAGTCCTTTACTGGGGGAATGGACTTTAGCAAAGCATGTTAGTGTTTGCCAGTTTAAAACTTATGAGACTGGTGGAAAGGATATGGATTTCAGATGACTTAATATAGACTAAAAATAATAATATATATTTGTGGTAGCTAAAAACTGTGCCTACAGAGCAGGCCTGCCAGTTGCGTTCCAAGTTGTAAGGAATTGGAAAAGCAGCTGACAATATATTAGTATAATTGTAGCAGTGATGGCTTAAATAGATTAAGAAGTGAGATTTTGCTTTAGACAGAAGTAGTGTCTCTTACTGGACCATTTGATGTCTTTGGAGAAAAGCAGACATGTTTTTGGCCAGAAGATCTCATGAAGATCTGTAGTAAGGTGTTGGAGGAAAAAGAGGTAATGTCTTGTAAAAATTGATGTTTTCCCCTATATTCCACAGTATGGCTCGTGGGAGGGAATAAAGCCTTGGGCGTTGTTCTTGAAATGAAATGCTTTTAAGATTTATCAGTGCACACTGTTTCCCCAGAGGTATATGAAGTTAAACTCCTCTGGGCTTACTGCAGGCTTTTCTCCTTGCATTGGTTGATATTCAGCCTTTTATTTTTTTCTGTTATATAGTTTTAAATTTACTGAAACTGTGTATTGTACTTCCAATTACAAGGCTTCCTGAACAGCTGTTGTGTATCTTAAATAACCATTTCAAAATCTTGCTATAAGAATAGATTTGAAAAGATTTGAGTTGCTACCTTTCAAGAAAGAGGGAGCCTGATTTGTTCCTAAAATGTCTATGCAATCTTTCCTTGACTCTTAAGGTATTTCATAACAGAAAGCTTAAATATTTTTCAGTTTTTCCTGTGCAGTTGTAGTTTGACCCTAAGTCTGGGTCGAACTTTTAATGAACATTTTACAATATAAGCTTGCACTGTAATCCTCACTTAGGAAAGCATATATAAATTCAGATTGAATTGTTTTTAAATAAATCTGCTATTGCCTAGTAAAAGGATTATGGATTACAGCTTTATTTCCAGCCTTGCACTCCACTGTCAGAAAAAGAGAAGGATGAGTTTGATAGAAAACTCTTCACACATTAATTGGACAGTATATATCAAATGTAGAAGAATGGCACAGTCCACCTGTTTTGTTTAAATTTGTTTTTATCGTCTTCTACGACACTTCTGTAAGACTTGTGGTTTTTTCCCTGTTTGTGCTTCTCAGGGGAGTTCATCACAGCTCCAGTCTTGGACTGTGCAGCCATCCTTTGAAGTGATTCCAGCTCAGCCACAGCTAGTGTTTCTTCGTCCATCAATCCCACCTCCCATTAGTCCTCACCCTGTTGGGAAAAAGAGAAATGACTCCACTAATTACCTGCCCATCCTGAATTCTTATCCCAAAATAGCACCACAGCCCTGCAAAAGAGATCACTCCTTTGATCTAGAAGAATGTCAGGAAACCACTTGCCATAAACGACTCTGCACAGAAGCACCCAAGATGGAGACTTCTCCCGGACTGATGAGCACAGGCTTGCCTACTAGTTCTTTTTCCCACCTACCAGTTAGCTTTAAGACCCCTCAGGATTCTAGCCAGCAAAGTTCTTCAGCACTGGTGACAAGTGGAAAACTGTCAGCTCTTCCTGGTTTTCATCGTGTTTCCAGCGATGCTCAGAAGGTGCCAGGTTTGGCTCCCCTTTTGCCTTTTGGAGCTCTGCAGACAGCAAAGTGCACCCTTCACGAGGGCGAGAGTGCGTCACAGACTGCGGTGCCTTCTGCGGTGTGGAGCCCTCCGTTGATACCAGAGGAGATGTGCAGCACCCCTGAGCTGCTCTTGCAGCAGCAGAGCAAGTGCAGGCGCTTTCAGAACACGCTGGTGGTGCTGCGCCGGTCGGGACTGCTGGAGATCACCTTAAAAACCAAGGAGCTCATTCATCAGAACCAGGTGACGCAGGCTGAGCTGGACCAGCTGAAGCACCAAACACAGCTTTTCATAGAGGCAATAAAGAACAATGCTCCACAGTCATGGGCAGAGCTGGAAGCATCCCTAACAGGATCTGATAAAGCTGATAGCAACCTCGAAGACCCCACTTATCCCAACATGTAGTAAAAATGTGCATAGCTGTTGGTCAAGTTATTTCTGTGCCTCCTTTTCTCCTGTCTCAGACTTCTACTTGAGCATTTTTTGAGTCCAAGATTTGTAAAGTTGCATTGCCATTAACAATTTGTCTTCAGAGCCAGCTGTGGGACTGGAATAGCATGGTGGGTTCCAGGCAGAATGGGTACTTAGTACTGTAATGTGACCTTGAATTTCACGCTAACTCTCTGTAATTCGTTGGTCTGAAGAAGTTTGTATGTGTTCTGCTGGCATGTTCCCATTCTTGAAGTGAAGACAGTCGTTTGCAGTATTCTGCAAGCATCTTCTTATTCCCATCTTCAGATAGTTGTTTCTGAGCGTGCAGCAGCAGAACAGGCCCCACTGTTGGGCCATCATCACTTCCAAGTAGGTGAAGGGAGTTGGTGTGAGGTGAAAGAAGTCCTTCTCCCATCCCCTTCCTTATTTTTCTTATTTAGAGAAATGGAATAGAGAGGAGAATTTGAAGTTCAGAATATGTATTTTTAGGAAGCGGTTGCCCTAGAAAACAAGATGATGGGCTCGGGGTACGTAGAGATGAAAGGGAGGCAGAAAAAATGAAGTCCTATCGTAGCTGTTTGAGACAAGGAAAAATGAGTCTACCAGTGACCTTCTCCATTCTATATCCACTGCTCTAATAGAGTATAAAGGAATGAAAAACTTGCTTTGCAGGGCAGTACCCTTTGACTTAGGGAGACTTAGCTGGTGGAAATCTCTCATAGTCCTTATAGTACCACATGGACTTTTTCTCTGACAGTATGGAGGGTGGGCTGAAGTGGGTGTGCTTACAGCTAATGGGCCTTTCTGCTGGTGTAATTTGTATAAATATATGTTCAATAAATCTGTGAATAAAGTTCAGCAGCTGGTTAGAAATCTCCTACTGGGCATCAGTCCAGACTTAAATAGTATTTACTGAACTAGAAAAATCCACTCTGGAACTCATACTTAAATCTGGGGCTCCTTAGGAAGCATATCCCTGGATAATGGGAAACCTTAACATCTATAAAAAAATAAGGATGTTGAAGGTTTCTGGTGGTAAATGTGTCATCAGGTACCATTCTGTTCCGTTTTCTTAGCTGCCTTTATTCCTGGGAGCCCTGATAAAGCTTTAAAACAATAAGGGCTTTCCTTTCTTGGCTGCAATGTAATAAAATAGGTTAGCTTGGAAATGCATTTGGAAAATTAGTTGACTACATCAGGACCAGGATAAGTCCAGATTCTGGGCAGGATCTGAAAGTGGTCCAGTAAATTTGAAAAGTGTTAGCCTCTGAATGGAAACTGTAAGCAGTGAACTCACAGTTTCTTTTGATCCTCAAAGCAGCAAGATTTGTTATTAAGAAGTTAGCTGAAGACAGTCTTGGTGTAATCAATCAGATGGCCTGCTGCAGCTTCAGCTGTTGCTGACAACTTACAAGTGGGGTAGCTTGATGTGTCAGACAGACTGTTTTTTGTATTAAGTTTTAATAAATGTTGGTATTTTTGATTACTTTTACTATATCTTTTTGAAATTCTGCTGTTCTAGTTGGAATGCAGGTATTTTCTGTACTTTCAAAGCCCGTTGCTAGCTCTGAAAAAAGTAGCCTAACATCTCTGTTATAGAACATGACCTTTTTGCTAAAACTTTACAGAAATTGACTGTGAAATATAAATTAAATAAAGTATGTACTTGAAAAAGTTTATGGATTATTTAGTGCTGTTGAACTGCAAAGTCCCTGGTTCCAAAGCATGCTTTAAATACAGCTCCACAGCAGCATGTTGCCCATGTGGGAAAGTGCAGATACAAAAGTGATACTATGATGTATCTCTTTGAAGTGAGTCATGTGAGCTTTAACAGTATCTATGAATTAAAGGGTCTTTGGGAGGAGCATGCATAGAAATAGGCTGTACAGAACTCTAAAAATACATTGTCGTGGGTGACCACTGCCATAGATCTGTCAGGAACAACCTGGAAGGATTTTTCCATCTCTGAGCTGTTGTCTCCATGATGACTGTACATTATGCTCACCGTCTGCACAGGGTGAACTCCTACGCTGTGTCTTAATCCTGTCAGCTGGGTATGCGGAACTTTGAAATTGTGAAGTAAGAATCTTGGCTACTGGAAGAATTACTGGAGTAAAAAATGTTACACTCTTCTCTTGAAGAACCTTCTCCAACTAAATCTGTATACCACCGAAACACATTTCTTCAAAATGTGGCCATCTTTATGTGGGTTTTTTTTGGTTTTTTTTTTGTTCAAACGTGACTTGCAGGGAGAACTAGGTAGTCATGCTCAAAACATCCAGCAGCCTTATGGCATGAGATCTTCTCCTAAGATACAAGAGGTTCTGTTAAAAGCTCTTACTTGACACCAGACAAGACAACGTGAATCTCATGGCCTTATATCCAAAAAGGAGTGCCATCTATTGGAATAATTTTATTTCCTGAGACTAGAAACTCAGTGTTTGCAAATTTTATGTTCACAAAAGTATGGATACAATTCAAGCAGGAAATTCTCAGGTTTCTGCCTCTTCTGACTACCTTTTCCTTTACATGATTAAGTTTTCTGCAGCGTGTCAGGCATCTTCACCTTTATTTCACCTAGGCCAAAAAGGTGAATTCTTTCAGGTGCCTTGCATCTGTCATATTTTTCTTTCTCATGATAAAAACAGTCTGAAAGAAACAGTACCCCTGTAGGCTTGGGCTGAGCAATCTCCTGGCATGCAAAATTTCTGGCATCCACTAGATTGAGCATAGCATGCTGTTCCTGCTTTCATTTTCATAATTTCTAGTACAAAAATGTAGGGTCCCTCCCTACCTACACAATTTTACACCCTTGCTGTACCTAGGTGATGCTTCTTTCAGGTTGTGGTGTAATGCAGCCATATAGTCCCAACTGTATTGCCTGGTCTTATGTGTCCAAAATGCTCATGCCTGCTTCTCTTCCCTTTTTAAATCTACGTCCTTTGCGTGAGAAAAATTCAACAGTTCCAGTGTAATCTGATTCGGAAGGCAGAAGGAAACACCATGTGTTCAGTCTGCTCTCTTGCTGAGCAGTTTCCAAGACTTCCTCAAATTCTTGTTTGAACTAAAGCTGTTCTTAGAAGAAGTATCCTGCATTGATTTGAAAGCTCCTACAATTAAGAATCCACCCAAATTGTTAAAAGTATAATTACTTACTATTAAACACATGTCTCTTACATTGAGCCTGCATTTGTCATCTTTCCATATCCAGCTGTCAGATCTTTTGTCTTTTGTCTGCCAAACCGAAGTGCATGATGTGACATTGCTGTTTTCACTGTAGGCATTTTCAAATTGAACAAGTCACTCTTCAGCTTTCTTTTTAAAAGTAAGTAAATAGACTCAAGTCTTCTGGATCCTGTGTTGGTGGCACTCTCCTTTGGATCCTTTACAGTAATTTAAATGCATTTTTAATTGGGGCACTAATAGCAAAGCAGGACTGCTAAAAGAATTGTATAGTATGAATTCTATCTACTGCTCCTCTACCTCATTTTTATAACAGTCTTGGCTGTGACATCAGATTTGACATATAAATTGTCCCTGTGCCTATTGCTTCTGTGGTTGGTGAACCCCTGTATGTTTCTACATTCCTTTGAATGCAGTTTGCAGCCAGGAAACAAAGCAAGCTGGTTGTAGGAAGTGGCCAGTTGTATTCATTAGTTTCTCTGCTTCTCTCCTTTGAAACTTTTTCATCTTTAGATGAGATTTGAAAGGTAATTTCATCTTGTATTTCAATTATTGAAAACAATGTTAAATAACGTTATAGTAAAGAAGCAATTTTTAAAATAAGAACAGACTATTGAGCTTAATGGATGTCTGTATACAATTCAGAAACCATGGTTGCAACGTATTTCATACCAGACAGTTAATTTTGTATAAATCTGGCTTCAGTCTGTCATGTGGCACACTTTTAAATGCCTATCAGTAATAGAAATACTATGTGTGTTGGCTTTGTTTTCAACCAATTTTGAATTGTAGCTGATCAATATAAGGAGTCAATTTTATCTGACCAGCCCTATTTCTTGTAAGCTTTATTAATTTCAATTAGTTTTGCTTTCTATGTTCTGGAATGATCAAAAATTATGGGTTATTCCATTATTTTCTTTCCGTTTCCTGCTATATTAATTTAAATTAGTCTACCTACTTACTGAAAAGCTGATGTTGTATCAGTTCTTTCCTCACCTCAGTCCGCTGAAATCTTTCCTAGAAGTGGGAAATTCATTTAAATAGAATTGGTGGTCCAGACAGCTTCTTAATCAGCTCTGTCAAATTTTCAGTCACAACTTATTCAGACTTGCTTAGTTTAAAATGCGTAATAACTGTTGTTTGAAATGTTCTGAATTACTTTTTGAAGTTAAAATCAAGCTACTCTTATGATCTGAGGGGAATAATACATTTTTTTTTTAATTGCTCAACAGGAATTTTTGTGAAATGCTTTTGCCATTGTGCACTGCAGCATTATAATTTTTATCTTGAATTGAAGCCCTGCCAGCAAAGATTTCTTCTGCATCTCATACATATTAAGAAATGGAGGAAATGGACTTTCCAGAGCCAAAAGGGGAGTTTCATCAAATTCTTTATTGTTTTCTTCATGTTCTTATTGTGATTAAATTAATTTAGTTAATGGGAACTGAAATGCTTCTTTACCATGTTCACTTAACACAATCTTACTGTTTTTCCATACAGTAGTATGGATTTTTTTAGGCCACGTACTTAGGCCAGGACTAAGAAATCCAGTAACAGATAGAAGACCAACCCTTAGTGGTTTTTAACAAATAGGGCTGCTTGAAAAATCTGTATGTTTTCAGTGAAAACTCAGGTTTTTTTTTTTAATGAAAAAGTCTTTTGGCTTAAAGCTTAATTGTTTTTCAGTGTTAGCATTCATTTTTCAGTGAATCTCAAGCACTATGGAAGTAAGTCTGGACTGTGGGAAAGGGGGAAGATGTTATTTCTCTAAAGAAATGAGGTAAACCTTCATTTCCTTCACCTGCATTGTTTTGGGTTGTACAAGAAACAGGACCCCAACTTTGATGAGTGGTTCCACCACCTCAGGCTGATGATGCAGAAGCCAGCATAGCCAATCAAAACTGCTCAGTTGTTTGCAATGGCAGAGGAGACTAATAGATCCCAAGTAAGTGGGGATAAAACAGCATCTCCTGAGAAGATTGCTGGCTTAGTCAGTACAAATACCATTTTTTCACCTTAAAAAATCTAGCTTAAAAAAAAAATCAATGATTTTGTTTGGCATAGGACATTATGGTTCTGGATAGGTCCTGTTCTACATTTGCCAGAGGCAGAGTTCAGTGCAGTGAAATGAGCAGCGTTTAGTGTGCAAAGTGTGAAATACGACTGGACAGTGGCAAGGCTGTTTTACCTGGGGTGAATGTTAGCAATGCCTATTGTTTTGTGTTCTTGCTAAATATTTTCTCCCATGCAAATGATAATGTTATACCTATCCAAACATGCTCAGAAGTCAGAATAGGATAGTCTGTATCAAAGTGAAAATGGTTTTCACTCTTCAACATCCTATCACTAACCATGCTTGTGGAACACTTACACATTAATGCTTTTTTAGAACATTGTGAAAGGGGGTTGCTGAGATTAGTTGTGTGATAAATGACCAGAAAGCACTCCAAAACATTTAATTGCAAACTGATCCTTATTGTGCAAGGATGAAAGTCTGAGCTTGATGGTAATCATCTAAATAGTGAAACGCCTCCAGATGCATAGTGGGAGCTGCAGCCAACCCAAACTGGGACAGAGGAAAGCAAGTAACTGCACTGAGGCCTATTACTGTAGTGCTCCTGGTCCTGTGCAGTAGCAGCATTTGGGTAGAGAATCTTGAGAGACTGTAGTTAAGACAGGTGTTGACATTGAGAGTGATGTTGGTGCACAAATAAACTAATGGTCCTGACTACCTTCTAGCAGCTCCGAAACAAGCTGGGCAGTCTGAACATGCACCTCATGGCCAAAGCCTCTATTTCTTTGAAAGACTGGGACGCAAAGT